CTACGTAAGTTACGATGTTGGGTTAAGACCAAGATGAATCAACGGGAAGTAAAATATATTTGCTATTTATACTTCACATTGATGATTCAAAGAACTGTTGTCACAATATTTCACACCAAACTCGTATAAAGAATCCCTGACCGGTAAAAGTCCTGTAAGTTTTGGAAAGTACAAGTAACTTATAGGCACAATAACGAAGTGCAAAATGAGCCAATAGCGGACGTTAAAATTGTTATATCAGCCTTTGTGAATATTTTCGAAGGGTTTATTGTGTTCGGTTCTGCATGCACCCTGGACATCAGAATTCTTTTGCCACAAAACCGCGAACGTTCATGTTAAAATTCAAACTGAAATTTTATATTTTGGCACTAACGTGTTTAGTCATTTGCACGGCGCTCTTAAATCTAACAACGTGCGTAAGTTATATCTTGCTACGAATCATATAGTATTGTAGGCTTTCACGGCCGGAGTCAATAGAAAGTAGATTTTCCGGGCTGGTAGGCCGTGGTCCACCAGCCTGAAAAATCTAGCTTCTATTGCTACGAATCGTTATGCTTGTACGAACTGAAGAATAACTCGCAGGAGTGTATCTCTACTGCACCCATTCGTACGTATTTCTGAGTTTCCTCTAGCGCCTCGCGTTTAATAACACGGCGTAAGCAGGTAACCATCGTACATTCAGCTGTTTGAAAACCGCTGGAGACAACGCGTACAACAAGTTAACGATCACATTCTGGAACCTTTCAGATGCTCGACTTCCAACGCGCCAGAAACGCGACGTAATGAATTACTGATTACTTCCGTAACGGTCCATGCTACCTGAAGTCGAGGTGGCATTATCTACGGTTCTTGCTCCCAGCGATTACCGATGCGATACGCCACTACAGCGTCACTGTTTTTCTTCGAGGAAGACGTGGAGCAGGGGGCTAGCTGTTCAGTGCAGGATGAACTCGACGATTTGGTAAACAAGAACGCAAGGAAGGGTAAAAGCGTGACACGGAGAGCCAATGCGCCTGCATGGTGGTTCCTCCGTCAGGGGCGCTCTCCTCTAAACGCAGTTTCTCCATTCCGACAGCCATCACCCCATTTTCTCCAGTCCGAAAGGGGACTGTCTCTCAGAAACTCGTTTGCTTTTTCTTTTTCGACAGGCAACTCTATCTTCAAAACGCATTTTCTTCATTCCGACTTGCGGTGCCCTCTTCTAAACGCAGTTTCTCCATTCCGACAGGATGCGTTCCCTTCGCAACGCATTTTCTTCATTTCGAGAGGGTGCGTTCTCTTCAAAATGTATTTTGTCCATACCGATAGCCGGACCCCTTTCGAAACGAATTTTCTCCATTCCGTAAGGGGACTGTCTCCACGAAACTCTTTTTTTCTTTTTTTCCTTTTTCGACAGGAAACTCTTTCTTGAAAACGCATTTTCTTCATTCGGAGAGGAACGCTTCCCTCGAAACACATTTTCCACATTCCGACTTGCGGTGCCCTCTTCTAATCGCATTTTCTCCATTTTGATAGGATGCACTCCCTTCGCAACGCATTTTTCTTCATTTCGTGAGGGTACGTCCTCTTCAAAATGTCCGACAGATAGCACCCGCTTCGAAACGAATTTTCACCATTCCGAAAGGGGACACACTCTTCGAAACTTTTTCCCCCCTTTTCGATAGGAAACACTTTCTTCAAAACACAATTTCTTCATTCGGGCAGCAATGTCCTTCATCAAACACATAAGGAAGTTTTGGACACCTTAGGCGCCAGCGATCGACAACAATCGTGATTTTCTGCACACGCGCAGATGCACAGAAGTATTGCGAAACATGAACTACATCAACTACAACAAAGGGCGCTCTCTTCGAAACTACGCATTTTCTACATTTGCAGAGAGGCCGCTCTCTTCGAAACGCATTTTCTACATTTCAAAAGCACGGTTGCCAGATTGGGTGGAATTCCTCGCTTTGCGCTGGAAAACGGGTCTCTCTCGCCAGACAAAAATTGATGTCGCGGAATACCACACAATGGGCGGAAATTAATCGAAACATGTGCGGTTTTGGGCCGCTTTTCAGATTACGCAAGAAATTTTCAAAAAAGAACAACGTTGACAGTGAGTTTGATTTTTTTAATTTTTTACAAAGTACATGATTTTTCATTAACCATTTGTAATTCGATCAAATTTACACTGAGAAGTAAGTAATCTTAGTTTTTAGACCTCTAGTACGATAGGGTTTCTTATAGGGCGTGTTCTAAAGACATACACATTTGTTGTGCACAATATGAGTACATTATGTATCACATTGGCAGTCTTTGGGTTAATTTTAGAACACGACATTTACAATTTGTCATCTTTTGGAAGTACAGTTTCACTGTCGGCACTTTCCATTAAGCAACAGGAAATATGCATGCATAAGCAAGCATTTCTGTAGTAATATTTTTACGCGCGAATATTTAAGAGGAATAAGGAGAGTAAAAATGGAAAATGGTGAAACTATTTTATCCTTTGAAGTACTCCTCTTATCAGCTGTAGTAATAAGAATAGTCATAATTTTTTTTAATATTATGATATAACAAAAGGCATCACATTTACATAAATATTATTATTAATTATAACGTTCAAAAACAAAAACGTATAACTAATTAAGCATTTCATAGGGCCACTATCTCAAAAACAATCTAATACAATTGTTTTAATGCAAATTCAAATTCCCCACATGGAAAATTGAACTTTTCTTACTTGGTGGAATTGGACGTATTTACGTCCACCTAAGGGCGGATGTTTGTACGAAGCATCTGGCAACCCTGTTCTATAGAGGGCGCTTTCTTCGAAACGCATCTTCTAAATTCCGGGAGTGCTGTCATCGAAATACATTTACTACATTTCCGCAGAGGGTGAGCTCTTCCAAACTTCGGATTTTCTACATTGCCGATCAAACACTCTTCCATGATTTATACATAAAAACAAATTTATTCTTTCAGGGGCGCAATTAGGGTGTGTGCTTAACTACGTTATAAATGCATTTTGTGTGAAATCTAATGTTAAAAACTAAGTCAATGATTTACATACTTTTTTCGGTTATTCCACCAAGAGCCACAAGGTGATTTTGGGGTATCAGAACGTGAGGTTCGTAATCACATTTGTCGGAGGCTCCGGTAATTTGTATATACTTTTTTTTTCTAGTGTTTTTTTTTTTTTTCAGCCGGTTATCCTTTGCGTTCCGACGGGAAGCTTATCTGACCATACACTAGACACCAACATACGTGCATGCTCCTTCGATTTGGGGTTGGCAGAACGCAAGGTCAAACACAACCAAGCCCTAGACGAGACTCGAACCCGCGACCCGTCAAACTGAAGCGCAGAACCGGCACCCGCTCTTCCACCTTGGCCATCCAGGACGGCATTTGTATACACTTTTGTTTTACATACTACAAGTTAGGAGAAGTATGTAAAGTTGTTAATACGAAAAAAAAATCTTAGTTATACAACAAGACACGCGCCACAAAGTGAAAACGCTGCGAGAGAAAATCTCACTCATCACGTATCCTGTCCTACTGAACTAGAACGTCGCAAACACAAATTTCAAGTGAGACCCATTAACTGGTTTTGCCCTTTCCGCGCAGCATTCAACAAAACAAGGGGGCGGGGCCTGGAACACGCGTGCCCCGTCGTCGCCGCCGCTGCTGCTCCTGCTCCGATGCAATCTCAGTCAGGTCGGCGGCCCTTCCTGCGGTGTCGCTCAGACCCCGGTCACAATGGCGTAACCCCTGCACGGGGGAACAATTCAGACGCAAATGGCAATAAAATTGCTGCCGGCCGCTGACGTTACAAAGGAAACCCTGCGGCGGCGTTTGAAACCACAACGCTCTTCGGTCAAGGGCTGCGATTGGTTCGAGACGGAACCACGGGCGCATATCGGGATTCGGGATTCCCCCTGCAATCAGGGGGGCTAACCTTGGCCACGCAACGACCCTAGGTAGAAGGATGGCAGGAAAATGAGAAACGGTGTTTAAATTCGCTCTTCGTTTCAGATATGGATCTCACGGATAATTAATGATGATCGTGGATGCAGTCACCTCAAAAAGTACGCATTAGGTACTATTGGAGACTCATGCCAGATTACTAACTCTACCTTAAGTTCGTGCTGTTTTATGTTGGCTGATAACATACGTCTTACCAGCTAACAATATTTTTAAGACAAGATAGCATAATTTACCGTAATACTATTAAAAGAAAATATTTCTACAAAAATGTAAACATGTCAACGATTCTTCCAAATCCCACCAGTCATTTGAGTGCTGTGAATTCAGAAAAATTGGCAAAGATGGTCCTTGAAATTTTAGTTTACAATTCGGTACCAAAGTAACAAAATTTCACAGTCTCTTTAACAAAACTTAAGAGATTCAATCCAAATAAGTTAATGTACAAACAACAAGCTTTTTTTTACTATAAATAATTGTCACCATCCCGTCACCTTGTTAGACGTAATTACACTCGGAGAATATATTCCGCAATCGTAAACAAATCCAAATTGTGACCACGTCACTGACTAACAATACAATATAATAAATAAATTTGTTCAAAGAATTGGTTGCCCCGACCGTAATCCAGAAAGCTCGGTGTCGAGTCCCAGTCGGGGCAGCCAATTCTTTGAACAAATTTAGTTATTAGCAAGCTTTTTTGGTAACTTGTCATATTTCTTCTAATGAATGACGTAAGTCACGAATTTATAGAGTGATTTGGGAACCAATCTAGTTTGGGGGAAAAGTTCCTTTTCAATTGTTTTCTTTTTTTGTATTGGTACCTCATTGTCCTTTCGACAATGTGCAGTCTGCCAGGACCTTTCACAGTCACACATCACGCCTTAACAGAATTTCTCTCCAATTATACCGTGGGACTTAGGAAACACATGTTTATAGTCTAATAATCTGAACTCGTCTGTATAATTGGCACAGAAAAATCTTCGAAATATTTCCGAGCAGTCGGAATACGAGTGCCAAAGACGCTTACTCACCGTGCATAGGAGGACGCCGCAGTCCGCCGCTCGAAAGGTCTGGAACACCAGGGTCCGCTCCTAGAAACACCAAATAAGATTCACCATCGCGCCCCGGGCCAACGGACCCGGTGCGTCAAGGAAACTCGGAGCCATTCCTTGTGCTGCTATGCACTGGGCAAGACTTACCCATAGTATTATTAGCAAGTCTACTCAAATTTCTTTCGATAACACCTCATATAAATGTCTTGAAATTTCTACATGGTATAAAAATATTTGATGCATTGTATAGAATTGCATAAATGGTCACTAATGACCTTGCAGCTCATGTGACCAAAAATAATTAAGTTCGTTTTAAAACGAAGACTTTCTCGTATTAGTTTCCTAATGTCTCTCTGGTCTGGGCTAGCTTTTCGGTTTTCTCCATACAACCCAAAATGTCGGTCGGAATTATTACTTGAAATTACAAGTAAATCAAATTTCACCAAGATAGTCATAGCGAACGCAGGCTTAATGTGAGGCAGGACGTTTAAACAATAGGAGTCTAGAAAATTATGTCTAAACCAGGGCAATTTTTAAACAATTATTCTGTTCAACACGGCTCCATTTTTTTTCTTTAAATTAAGAAATAAACGATAAACAAAGAATTGTTAGTCCCATTTTCGGCTGACACTTTATTTTTGAAAATTATGAACAACAAAACATTAACATCGAAAAAGTGCATTACTGATAATTAAGGTTTTTTGTAAAATGAAATGTATTAAAAAATAATTATTTAAAATTTTCGAATTTACAAATTCAAATTTCACGCACTTTTAGGCTAGAATTTTACACGAAATATCAGGGTGAAATGTAACAGTAAAATGCCGCGACACAAACTGACATTGTCTCCGAATAACCTCCGGGTATATGAAACGGAGTTATGCATTGCCGAATCAAAGTAATGTTTTACCTTTTAATGAATTAATTTTTCGTGCTACATTTGGTAATGAGTAATCGACATGATGACTGAAGTGTGTTGATGGACACAAATTGCGGAATTACTATTTTACGTAAACATTCCTGACGCCAAAAAGTAACACCACTACGTATAATTGTAAACAGAAATCACATTTTATTTCTCACAACACTGATGAGCGTTCTAACATTTTTCAGCTTTTCTGAGTTAAGTCAGAGTCAAGTAATATTACAGCTGTAAGTTACGTAATCAAAAACGCTCAAGAAATATTCTAACAAAACTTGATAATTTAATAACAATGTCCAAAATGTTTGTTAATATCAATAATAAAAGTCTCATCTCAAAATAGTAGCACGCGACTTTCACAGATTCTCCCCACCTGCAAGTCCATATGACGTATTCACGATTCAGCACCGTGGCGCCATCCGGCGAGTTGCACGGCAACTTGGTGGAGTAGGCACTGCTTAAGCCAATTTAGACTGCACTATTTTTCTTGTCCGGAGACGTAGAAAGAACGACGCGTAGGCCGTTCATAAGCAAACATATTATACTGTATACAGAACAAACTAATTTTGAAATGTTTAAAACGTAATTGACACATGATCCTACAAATAATTCCCATTATCAAAGAATAACGAATAATGGAAAGTGAATTTGATAATTTTTGCAGCTTCTATTTCATGCCGATTCTCTTTTTTTGGCCAGTTGGGGG